AGCTACACAGCTATCGTTAAATTCATTACTCTGTGATTTTTCATTGCTAAATTACTTTATAATCACATTTTGATAAAATAATCAAAATCATATGATTCACTGATACCTTAAATACTCAAAACATTAATCTTAGTATATAACAAATCTCCATTTAATACTTTTCCATGCCTCTTTTTATCCATTAAACTTTATGCATACCGTTTTTGGTAAATTAAATATTTAAATATGTTAAAATAAAAGTTAGACTATTTTACCAAGTAGATTAGAATCAAACTTATATAAAAAATAAGAGTTAAACTAAATTAGCTCAACTCAGAATCAAAAGTTAAATTGAAACAATTTTACTAAATCTAAATATAGTTTATTTAATTGGGATTTTGACCATTATAATTGTTTTACAAAGGATAGCCAGTACTCATTATTACAATAATTATTTCATTTCAATCTTCTTCTCCCTAGACATATCATTTCGCCCTTTTTACAATATTTAGGATGTGTTTAATTGAATTAGGTTTAGTCTCAAACCAGGTCAAACCAGAACATATCAGATCAAATCAGAATAGATGAAACTTAAATATATCAGACCAGAAAATTTTAGACCAATTAAAAGCACCCTTACACGACATTTATATGTGAAAACACAATTTCACTCTAACATAGATTAAACAATTTTACTCAAATACAATTTCACTTGGTTCTTCTATAAAATTTCACTAAAAAAATTATAAAATTAACTTAATTTTACGAGGCTCGTACACAATTAATAATTGATGTAATTATTAATCTTCTTATTCACTGCTAATTGATAAATACTCTATTGTAATTAACGTACACCAAGTTAGTAACTCCTTAAACATTTTTTATGTCTATATTTTGTAATGAATGAAAAGAGCAGTTTTATAACTCTCAATTGCATCTAAATGAAATTCAACTTTTCAACTATCTTTACCTAAACAAAAAAAGAAAGATATGCTCAATGCCTATTTTTATCCATTAAATTTCTTCCGTGGCTTACTGCTTTTTTCAAAACTAACTACACACTTTTGTAATTTATTTATTTAAAAATGGGTTAAGTCAATTTTTTTGAAGATATTAGTTCTTATTTTTCTTACCTGATAATTCAAGTATGTTTGAGAAAAATAATAGGGCCATTTAAGATGAATATGGTGTTAAAGATTTTTATTTTTAATATTTGATGATTAAATTATCATTAAAAAATGTTAATAATTTCTTAAAATAGAAATGATAATCTTTACTGGAGAATCAAAAAATAAAGGGAGAACCTTTTGAGATGGAGGGAATAGTAGCTTTCAAAGTAATAAACTCAAGTCCTACTAAATGAAGATTTTTGGATTTGGTAAAAGTTGGTATAATATACTACCCCCGTTCTTAAATAAATGCAACACTTTGACTTTTACACTATTCACGTGTTCTACTTTGACTACGTTTTATTTATTAATGTAATAATATTTTTTATGAAAAAAATATTGTTAAACTTGTCTCATTGTAAATTTTCATAATCTAATTTTTATAATGTTTTTACTAATACAAAATCATATATATTAATGGTCAAAGTTGTGTCTCGGCAAGTGTGAAACGTTGATCGTTGCATTATTTAAGAACGGAGGAAGTACTCCGTGCTATTTTAAGCAAGTAATTTTTTTGTTGTCCCAAAAAAATGTGTCAGTTTCATTTGAATCATTAACTTATGGTTCCTACTTCCTATTATTTCTTTCTCCTCTTCATAAATCTTAATTACACAGTTTTTACATAATTATTTGTCATGCCAGTCAACTTGGAATTTTTTTATGTGTTCACCATTCTAATTAAGGGTATTTTCAATTGGAATCAATTTTTTTTAGTTGATCTACAAAAGTAAAAGTTATTTTTTTTCTTTAGTGCATATATTAAATATATACTAAAAGCTTTATTACTTACACACGTCGATCTACTTTTGTCGATAGTTTTAGATCTCTAGAAGCTTTATTACTTACACACGTAGCAATCATATCGTGATACTAAAAGTGGTGTTTAAGAGCAAGATAAACAAGTTAGGTTGTGTATAAGGGATAATTTTTTTACTAATGAATGTAGCGTTAATAATATAGTACTATTTGGTCTTAAAATTGAGATCAAATTTCATTTCTAAGTATGAGACATCTTTTTTATTGCATACTTTGACCTGTTTATGCTTCGACTATTATACTTACCACTTGAAGTGAGAATCTTTTTTATAAATTTAATTCAGCCGACCTTTTATGTAAAAATGTCTACTAGAAGTCTAAAGCATGTAACTTTCAATTATACTTATTTTAAATCAGGCTAATGAAAACTAAACCGACCTCTACCTGACTACCCATCGCGTTATGAAGATGAACTGTTATCGCCCCGATTACCTTCATTAAAATCAGAATGTCACAAAATTATATATATTCTAAACTCTTTTTTAAAGAAGAAGTTAGAAGGACTGAGTTGCTCAATTATAAATTCTAGAAGGGCTAATATCTTCAACCAATGACCACTCCCATTATTAAATAATTTTTTTTTACAAAATGCATAGTTATTAGTTTTGAAAAATAGTAAGTAGTTACAGATGAAATCTAATGGATGAAAATAGGCATTGCACATTTCTTTTTTGATGCACGTACATATTTAGAGAGATAACCATAGCCGCTCTTTTATATAGGCATGGCTATGGGTCGGGGCAGGGCGGGTAGTTCAAAACCCAAACCCGCCCCGTGGCTCTAACCCGTGGACCCGACCTGCCCCGCGACCCGTGACGGGCCAAGACATGGCGCCCCGCGACCTGCCCTGTGCGGGGCAGGTCTGCCCCGCCCCGACCCGCTCGTTATATAATTTGTAAGATTTTCTTTTTGATGATTTAGAACATGATGACACTTGTTTCATAAGACAAGAAATCACTAATCCTACGTAAATCATTAACAAACAATAACAATAACATAAAGTATTCTTGAGGAAAAAGATTTTGCAAATACTAGTAACATATGAAGGTCACCCAAGTACCACACGATAGTTTCAAACACTAAAAGTTTCACAACCAAAAGCTTCAAAAACAAAACAACAAGGGCAAGATGTAATCCAGCAATGCTCTAACTTAGTCCACCTTCACTCTTCTTCCGATATTTCATATTCCCATCCTTTTATTGCATCTTTGATAATGCTTACGCAAGTGAATGGTACCTTGTTTTGGATCACCCAAGAAAAGTGATCCACAATACCTGCACCTTGCTTTGAGGTTCTCATTGACTGTCTCTCTCAAATAGTGCTGCCAAATCATTGATTTTTTTTTTTTGCTACTTCAATTCCCACTTCTACTTCAGTTCCAACTTCTGCAACCAAATCTTCACCATCAACATTTACCTCTAATGGCATGCCATCAACAGGTACATCACTTTCATCAACTACGAAATTAGGTGATGAATTGGATAACTCAACTAGTGACAAATCTATTATTGGAGTGGTAGGTCATGAGCTTGTTTCAACCTCCATTGCTTAAAAGTCCACTGTGTACAGATAAAAGAAATTTAAACCATGTTAAAATTTTAAAAAGAACCGTTAAATAAAAATCTCTAATCAAACAACAACCCAATTAACTTTTACATATGTACACAAGGCTGCTATATACGTCTTTACTTCTTTCAATTGATGCAGGTACATATAAATTGCATATGTAAACAGAGCTGCTATCTTAATTTAATTTTTAATTTCCAGTTCATGTTTGCCGGTTTCATGCAGTAAGGTCACTAGTTCCCAGCTTTTATTCTTAATTAAGAGGAAACTAATGTCTTAAATATTGAAACTTAAGATTACTACCACGTTATTTATAATTCTATAGTACATAAATATGGGTAAAGACGGGCTGCTACCTGAAATTGGGAATTCTGAATTTGTGATTATACATATCTACTTGAGTTGATGTTGTGATTTTTAAATGATTTAAACATGAACTGCTTGAAATTATAAAAGAACATATAGGAGAGGATGGTTCATCAGTTAAAATCAAATCAATTCCAAACTACTTGAAATTATAAAAAAAATACATAAATAAAGAAGAATAAGAAATAAATACATTTGATATCTGTAGACAGTCCCTCTTGCCGCTATTGTGCTTTGCTTGATTTCTGGCTGTGTGTTGTGGTGCTTTAGAAAGCTGCTAACTCCATCTCTGCTCTATTGTGTTGGTCTATGCAGAAATTAGGCAGCCATCTAACACTTGCCGTGGGGTGACTTTATAAATGAAGAGTTCACGACCTTTGGTGTCTTCTATGGCCGCACAATTTAATTAAAGAAGCAAGACCTTTGTTTATCACTTTATTCAAGAAGTCGGCAACTAAGAGCATCCACAATGCCTCCAAGTCTAGTCTCAATTAAAAATGACAAATGTCAAATACTTAAATGCGTTTGTAATCCACATAATAAAAAGTGGAATGATTGGATAGTGAGGAATGCATTAAACCTCCAATGCATATAGTCTTCCGGTCCATGAGAATTGCCATTTGGAATTAAATTAAATATTTTAAAATTAAAGTAAAACTGCAAATATATTAAATTAATATAACTGTCATATGAAAACTACCAATTATTTCGTTTCTCTACTGTTATTCCGAAGATAGAGGCCATTTTGATGTGAGTCAGCAAGTTTAAGGGGATGTCTACACATACACATTTAGCTTCACACCGTTCAATTTTTAATTTGCCATGTCACCGAATCTTACTTACACACTACATGCATTGGAAGAGAAATAAGTAGTCTAAAGTCTAATTTAATGATGTGGCACACTTCACATAGACTAAACATGGATGCATTGAGGATGCTCTAAACTGTTAATATCCTTGGTGAACATTCGGGGCGGGGCGGGCCGAGACGGGGCGAAACTAATACCCATACCCGACCTGAATAGAGAACGGGCCGGACCAGACCCGACCCATTTAAGCTACGGGGTGGGGCAAGGCAGGGCAGGTTTTTTTTGCCATTCCTACTTCTATATGTGTTTTCTGTGCGATTTTTTCCCCATTTACATATAATCGTGAGGTATGGCTCAAATGCCTACATCTATATCTCCATTAGATAATCTAAACCTGGATGTCGAAGCATCAGAAGTTCAGGAGAACATGGAAGTCGAAGCAATGAAGGTCGATATGGAAGTTGAAGATCGTTTATTATTTCCGCCCAAATCCGATTTCTCCAAGGTGTGTTCCTGCATCGAATGTGCTGCGAAAATGAAGGTTCTGAAGGAATTTGAGAAAGATCTCCAGTCTAAAGCGGATTTAGTGTATGTAAGTAGAAACACACAAACAAAATATTTTTTGCTTGTCGATTTTTATGATATACTTGTATTTATTTATTTTTATTTGCAAACAGCAACGCAACCTCCAAGTGATTTCAGATCAGGCTAATCTTGTGGACCTTAGTGCTGCCTTTGAGTGGACGATAGAAACTTTGGATGTTCTTTATACTAACCTTAAAAGGCTTTACACGGTACATTGTTTTCAATACCCTATATATTCTGTAGTCCTGGGAAGTAAGAAATTGTATACTCCGAAAAATGTTTGTGTTATTTTTGTTGCAGAAGTTAGGGTTCTCATGTGAGCTTAGAAGAAGTGAATCTGAAGAGGACATGAATCACATGTTTGATAGATATCTTCGAATTATTAATATGCTAATGGATAATAAGTTGCTAAGGAAAAGTGATGTTCCATATGCAAGCAGGGCTGGTAAATGTGGGGATGAGGATGCTGATATTCTTCCTCTAGCAGGGCACATCGATGCTGGGGTAAGAAATTTGATTTCTGGATATCATTTAATTATTTCTGTATTCAATAGCTTTATTATGCGTGGACGTTTTCATTCAAATGTTAAGTACTACCTCATCATCAAAAACTTGTTTTCCGGATTGTCTTTTGACAGTTTATGCATCCCAAGTTCACCAAATTTAAGGATGACATGCATAGCATTCTCAAGAAGATTGAAGAGATTGAAGAAAAACATAAACAAGACAAGACCACTGCAGAGGAAGAAGAAGAAAGACCTCTCCATTTTTCAACCTCTAAGAACCACATTCTTAACCAAATTAAGGTTAAATTATCTACTTGCAGTCACTCCTCTTTTCTTCTTCTTATATGGAGTATTATGTATCTGATTGGGCAAATTATTATGTGGTCATTTTCTTTAGGTTTTAAAGCAGTTTCCTGTTGGTGAGATACATCGAGAATGTCAAAAGCTTGTGCAAAGACTTAAACCCGAGCTTGTGGACTTGATCTTAAAAGCTTACGAAGAGATCGAAGAAACTTACTGCAGAATGATTGTTATTAGACGACAGTTTTGGAAACAGTATGAAATGGTAATATGTATGTTTGGTTGCTATATAAATATCGTCTTATTAATTACTGTTTTTATTGAATCTAACTTAAGTGCATTTATCTAGACCGTTTCCTTCCCAAGAAACAAAGATGAGGAGAAACATAGTTGGAGTAGGTTGAAGGAAACACTCGATTCATTATGCCAGCAGGTCTGTTGGTATTATATTTTAATATATAGGCATTATCATCTTTTTATTGTTATTTGTAAATCTTAATTGTCTTAAAATCTCTAATGAATTAGGTCAATTCTTTTAACGAGTGGTGGAAAGAGAATGAACAACACTTCACTCCATGTGAAGGATCAAATCCTAAAAAGACAAAGACCACATGTTTAGCAATTCTATTGTCATAGCTGATTTTTTATATCTTGGGGCTGCATTCATCTATCAGAAGCCTATGCTTGATGATCTAAAGTTTACCACTTAATGATTGCCAGTTGATTTGATACACAAGAATGTAGGTACATGATGCCCATTTGTTCTTGTTTTTTTTTCAGAAGTAGTTTCACGCATATGTGCCTCAATTCACGCATATTTTCCTACCTTGTATTATGGATTATTGCAATTTGTGATTCTCAGTTTTTTCAAATTCTTCATCATAGTTCTTAAGCAGTTCATATCTAAATCAATCAACAATTCAACACTATTTGTGAATACTGGTTAGTATTCTTATGTTGCCTAAACATGATTTAGGCTTAAGAAGTTTCACTCTTTTATTAAAACTTTGTACTATACTTTTTATTTTACTTAAATGCTTATTGATGTTAAAATATAAAATCAATTGATGTGAAGTTTAATATGAATTTTAGAAGAGTGAAATGTGAAAGCAAAAACAATTTATTCAGCTGAACTCTCTGCACCTATTATCCCCATCCAAACTTATTATCCATGATAGTTATATTATTCAATAGACATTGATAAGCTTATTTAGGCTTTGTTTGCAAGTGCTTGTGGTTAAATAAAAGCACTTTTTGGGAAAAAGTGATTAGTAGTAAAAGTTGGTAGTGTTTGTTAAAATAAGTGCTTTTTGTGTAATAGAAAAAGTAAAAAATAGATTCTACACGAAAATCGAGAAAGTAAAAGTTGGTAGTGTTTGGTAAAATAAGTGCTTTTTTCTTAGAAAAAAGCCACAATCACTTAAATTAAGGGGTTGCAAACAGAGCCTTAATTTGTAACATAAACTGAAATGACATAATAAATTAATAATCAAAAGTGTCTAATTACACAGTTCTTATGATGTCTGATTTTGATTAATTTTCTCAAGATATCTGATTATTCTTTTTGTAATGTTGTGACTTGTGAGCCCAAACTGATTACCATGTGATGAATTAACGTACTTTTTGATAGTACTTTAATTAACGTTTTATGGTAAATTTTATTTCGAGTGCATTGTATTGACAGAATTGATTCCATGTTTTCATATGCATACCATTGATGCGCGTACGTATTTGGAGATATAACCATAGCCGCTCCCCTATATGTGTTTTCTGTGCGATTTTTCCTGGGTAAAATATAGCGTATACCCAACACCCGGTTGTACAGTCCTCACCGTACAACCGGGTATTTTTGCAATTATTATCAACTTCTCTCAAGTGGCAAGGCTCCATCGTCGACATCTGAGCTGCGCTGATTCCTTCGGCACCATATGAAGGGGGAACGTGTGCTGAAAACTGGTGGTCGCTGCTAATCAATCACGTTTCTTTGCTTTGCCGATTTCTGTTTTTTTTCTTTTCTGTTTTCTTGCTTTTCCGATTCTATATGACTATATGAAGAAGGAACATCTGCTTTGCCGATTCCTGTTTTTTTTTCTTTTCTTTTCCGATGCAAATAAATTACTCGTATGTTTTTTTATTGTCTTTTCTTTTCTTCTTTCTTGCTTTTATTACTTGTTTCCTTCATGGTCCACCGTCCACCACAAACGGCGACGACACCGCTCCACTCAACACCTCAATCAGCGATTCAGGACAAACGCCCGGCGGTCTACTGGTATGTACAATCGTTTTCTCCTACCTCCACAAGCCCTTAATCAAGAAATTCACTCCTATCGGCGCAACTATTAAGTCTGGTCTTCTTATCCGGAAAGAGAGCCAAGCTAGAGGAAAGCAGATTACTCTTGAAGATGGAAGAAACCATTTGCGAAGCTCGGTTCCTTCATCGCAGCCCAATGGTACGGTTTCTACCGATAGGGAATCCGCAGGGGTCCGTCGGAGCCCAACGACGGGGTCAGTCCCCAGTTGGGCGTCGGAAGGGACAGAAGCGTACGGGTGGTGCCGGTTTTGTCAGCGTGTCTTGTTCCAACTAAGCGAGTTCACGCTGAACCAGGTGATAGGCCTGAGATTTTCAGTTCCGTGACTCCAGCTGTGGCTTTGCAGGGGTCCGCAATCAATAGACAGGCAGACAGTCTGTTAAGCCTGGGGACTGGCGTTGTACGAAGACTCACATGGGCTGAAATTGTGAGATGTGATGCGAACAAATGTGACGACATGGCGAGCACCTCAACTGGAATCCTCAAGCCATACTCAAAAGATAAAGAGAAGCAAATGATTATCAGGGAACCTAATTTCACCACTCACAAAGATCTAGCTATCCAGCTTCAGACGATTCCTCCACGAATTTTGAAAAATTCGAATTTTTTAGAGAAGAAGGATTTGATTCCATAAAAATTGATTCTAAACTGTTCAGATTTGCGGCCATAGATAATGACATTGAAATTTTTGAGATTCAAAAATCCTCGCTAAGAAGGATTAATTTCAATTCAGATCTTGCTCCACAGATCTGTCAATTTATTCACCACATCACAAGCTCAAATAATGTTAACCGCAGACAGATCAAAAAATTCGGGTCGATCACAATCTCCACTGAACTCAACAAATCGGGCTCTTATCTGAAGATTGCTAAGGAAAATGGGACCTCTATTTTAGTCCCTAAGGGCCGAAGCAATTCCCATCTCAATGATTTTTTAACATTATTTTCTAATTTTGTTGAATTATCTTCTTGTGAGCAGGAGGAAGTCATGCCCTGGGAGCATGACAATTCGGGCGACTATGAGGAAATCACCATTTCCAAACTCATTTTTAACTATGAAGTTCAGAGAGCCTTTGCCAAGAAGCAACAACTCCCTTCATTTCAGAAACAACCACAAAATACACTCCTTCAGACTTACTCTGATGCTTCAGACGGCTTTGATCATTCTGATGATTCTTTCTTTTCAGACGATTTTCTAGGACATGCAACCGAAAGCGATCGTCGCCCCCCTTTATCAACCAAGGAAGAAATTAGAAACTCTAAATTCAATAGAAGGATTTGTCGCAAATCAGAGTTGGTCACCACTGACAATTGCTTGCCAACAAAAAATCTGAACACGCAACTAAAAATCTACAAGAAATCTCAAAATAATAAAAAGCGTCATAGCATGAGGACCAGATCACAATCCAGAGATTTTCCTTGGGCCTAGTTATTTTCTTTTGTTTTCCTTGTACGTTTCGTTTTTTTATTTAGTTATCTTATTGTACTGTAATTTCGTAATTTTATGAATAAAATCGTTTGCTTATAAAAAAAATATTACTTGTTTCCTTCTTTCTCTCTCTGTTTTTATTTTATTTTAATATTTATTCAATTATAAAATATCTTGGATATTAATGTTTTGTATTTCTATATCTCATTTTGTAATTTACGTATGTTCATTTGATATTGGTTTTATGCTCATTTTAAAATGTCATATTAATACACAAAATGAATGTTGAGCACAATAGAATTGAGTTTTATGTTAAATTTAAATGAGCGCAACGACCAAAGTGATGAGCACCATAAATGCGTTTTTGAATTCTTTTGATACTCATTTTGTAAGTTATGTTGGAAATCCGGTACTCATCATATACTCATTTTCTAAATGATATAATTTGCATATGCTCATTTGTATAGGTCTGATGCTCATAAAATATTTATTAATGATCATTTAAAAGAAAGCATGATTTTCATCAATCTCAATAGACGAGGTTTGATATGTATGCTCATCTGATACTGATCATATGCTGATTTTATAAATGTCATATCAATGCATTTTAAATGTACTACGGAGTATTTTATATTAGACTCGTAATACTCAACATAATAGGATTAATGCTCATTAAAAAATCATTAATGCTCATTCACAAGAAACCGTGATTTTCATCTCAATAGCGAATCTTTGATGCTCAATTAAAATGTCGTGATGTTCAACTAACAAACCTTACAATTTTCATATCAATGTGCATTTTGTAAGTTATGTATGTTCATTTGGTACTGATGTTATGCTCGTTTTTACAATGTCATATCAATGCATATTTCAAAAGTACCATATTACATTAGACTCACATATTGAAATTAATAGGAGTGGATTATAGATATAATTTAATAAGTTTTTACAAAAGAAAAAATGAGAAAAAGAGAAAGAATTAGAATATAGGAAATCCCAACTATTGCTGGTCCTCTGAAAATAATCTCAACCATTGATTATTTTTGTATAATCTCAACTATATAGACTGTTCGCCAATAATGGTCCATGACCAGATATTACCTTTATAAAAAGTGAGATTTAAATAGAAATTAAGCGAAAAAATTAAAAGTTGAGATTATTTATAGGGATTACTTGTTATATCTCATCTCATCCACTTTAAAAACTACAAGAATTTATTCATAAGGACCATTATTGGCGGAAGGTCCCTAAAGTTGGGATTATTCTGGAATAATCAATCGTTAGATTATTATGAGCGGACCGCCAATAGTTGGGATTATTACTATCAATTTTTCCTAGAATATATGAAACAGAAATTGTGATACTCATTATTAGCCTCCTAATACTCAATAAAATAAGTCAGATGCTCACTAAATGTACACTATTGCTCATTTAGCGGAAGACATGATTTTTCACTTAAATTACAAAAACGCCACCGTTAAAAAATTGGCCCCTTTGCATGTTTTCCACGCAGGACCTGTTGTTTATGGGCTGTGCTCGCTAATTATTGTGGGCCTTCATCATATTCATTAAACTTCGTTTAAATTGGGCTGAAGCTTTAAAAAATTGAAAAAATATCCGGATGTACTGTTCCCAGCCGTAGGTGTACGATATACGAACTCATAATCCTCAGGTGGCTCAAATGCCTACATCTCCATTAGATATAAGTATTCTAGATCATCTAATCCTGGATGTCGAAGCATCAGAGGTTAAGGAGAACATGGAAGTCGAAGCAATGAATGTAGATATGGAAGTTGAAGCTCGTGTATTATTTCCACCCAAATCCGATTTCTCCAAGGTGTGTTCCTGCAACGAATGTTCTGGGAAAATGAAGGTTCTTAAGGAATTTGAGAAAGATCTCCAGTCTAAAGCGGATTTAGTGAATGTAGGTAGAAACACAAACAAGTTATTTTCTGCTTGTCGATTTCTATGGTATATTTATTTTTATTTGCAAACAGGAACGCAAACTCCAAGAGATTTCAGATCAGGCTATTATTGTGGACCTTACCGCTGCCTTTGAGTGGACGGTAGAAACTTTGGATGTTCTTTATACTAACCTTAAAAGGCTTTACACGGTACATTGTTTTCAATTCCCTGTTCTGTAGTTCTGGGAAGTAAGAAATTGTATGCTCCAAAAAAATTGTAATATTTTTGTTGCAGAAATCAGGATTGTCATGTGAGCTTAGAAGAAGTGAATCTGAAGAGGACATGACTGATAGATATTTTCGAATAATTAACATGCTAATGGATAATAAATTGCTAAGGAAAAGTGATGTTCCATATGCAAGCAAGGCTGGTAAATGTGGGGATGAGGATGCTGATATTCTTCCTCTGGCGGGGCACATCGATGCCGGGGTAAGAAATTAGATTTCAGGATATCATTTAAATATTTCTGTATTCAATAGCTTTTTACCACGTGCACTTTTTAATTCAAATGTAACTACGACCTTGTCATCAAAGCCTTGTATTGAAGAGAGAATTTTGTCAAAACAATTGTTGCATTATTTCTTTTGTCTTTTGACAGTTTATGCATTACCAGCTCACCAAATTTAAGGATGACGCGTATAGCATTCTCAAGAGGATTGAAGAGATTGAAGAAAAACATAAACAAGACCAGACCTCTGCTGCTGAAGAAGAAAGACCTCTCGATTTTTTGACCTCCAAGAAGCACATTCTGAACCAAATTAATGTTAAATTATCTACTTGCAGTCACTCCTCTTCTTATACTCTGTATTATTTCTGATTGGGCATATCATTATGTGATCATTTGATATAGGTTTTAAAGAAGTTGCCTCTTAGTGAGATGCATCGCGAATGTCAAAAGGTTGTGCAAAGACTTAAACCGGAGCTTGTGGACTTGATCTTAAAAGCTTATGATGAGATCGAAGAAACTTACCGCAGATTGATTGTTATTAGAAGACAGTTTTGGAAACAATATGAAATGGTAATATGTGTGTTTTGTTGCTATATAAATATCGTCTTATTAATTACTGTTTTTATTGAATCTAACTTAAGTGCATTTATCTAGACCGTTTTCTTCCCAAGAAACAAAGATGAGGAGAAACATAGTTGGAGTAGGCTGAAGGAAACACTCGATTCATTATGCCAGCAGGTCTGTTGGTATTATATATTTATGTATAGGCATTATCATCTTTTTATTGTTATTTGTAAATCTTAATTGTCTTAAAATCTCTGATGAATTAGGTCAGTTCTTTTAACGAGTGGTGGAAAGAGAATGAACAACACTTCACTCCATGTGAAGGATCAAGTCCTAAAAAGACAAAGATCAACACTGAATATTGAACTGTGTTGTGCTGCAGTTCCATGCAACAGCGCCATTTCCCTCACCACATGTTTAGCAATTCTATTGTCATAGCTGTTTTTGTATACTCGTGTATCTGGGGGCTGCATTCATCTATCAGAAGCCTATGCTTGATGATCTAAAGTTTACAAATTAATGATTGGCAGTTGATTTGACACACAGAATGTAGCTATATGATGCCTATTAATTCTTGTTTTTTTTTTCAGAATTAGTTTCACGCATATGTACCTCAATTCACACAGATTTTCTCATACTCCCTATTTCTTAAGCAGTTCATATCTAAATCAATCAACATTTCAACACTATTTGTGAATACTGGATAGTATTCTTATGTTGCCTAAACATGATTTAGGCTTAAGAAGTTTCACTCTTTTATTAAAACTTTGTACTATACTTTTTATTTTACTTAAATGCTTATTGATGTTAAAATATAAAATCAATTGATGTGAAGTTTAATATGAATTTTAGAAGAGTGAAATGTGAAAGCAAAAACAATTTATTCAGCTGAACTCTCTGCACCTATTATCCCCATCCAAGCTTATTATCCATGATAGTTATATTATTCGATAGACATTGATAAGCTTATTTAATTTGTAACATAAATTGAAATGACATAATAATCAAAAGTGTCTAATTACACAGTTCTTATGATGTCTGATTTTGATTAATTTTCTCAAGATATCTGATTATTCTTTTTGTAATGTTGTGACTTGTGAGCCCAAACTGATTACCATGTGATGAATTAACGTACTTTTTGATAGTACTTTAATTAACGTTTTATGGTAAATTTTATTTCGAGTGCATTGTATTGACAGAATTGATTCCATGTTTTCATATGCATACCATTGATGCGCGTACGTATTTGGAGATATAACCATAGCCGCTCCCCTATATGTGTTTTCTGTGCGATTTTTCCTGGGTAAAATATAGCGTATACCCAACACCCGGTTGTACAGTCCTCACCGTACAACCGGGTATTTTTGCAATTATTATCAACTTCTCTCAAGTGGCAAGGCTCCATCGTCGACATCTGAGCTGCGCTGATTCCTTCGGCACCATATGAAGGGGGAACGTGCGCTGAAAACTGGTGGTCGCTGCTAATCAATCACGTTTCTTTGCTTTGCCGATTTCTGTTTTTTCTTTTCTGTTTTCTTGCTTTTCCGATTCTATATGACTATATGAAGAAGGAACATCTGCTTTGCCGATTCCTGTTTTTTTTTTTCTTTTCTTTTCCGATGCAAATAAATTACTCGTATGTTTTTTTATTGTCTTTTCTTTTCTTCTTTCTTGCTTTTATTACTTGTTTCCTTCATGGTCCACCGTCCACCACAAACGGCGACGACACCGCTCCACTCAACACCTCAATCAGCGATTCAGGACAAACGCCCGGCGGTCTACTGGTATGTACAATCGTTTTCTCCTACCTCCACAAGCCCTTAATCAAGAAATTCACTCCTATCGGCGCAACTATTAAGTCTGGTCTTCTTATCCGGAAAGAGAGCCAAGCTAGAGGAAAGCAGATTACTCTTGAAGATGGAAGAAACCATTTGTGAAGCTCGGTTCCTTCATCGCAGCCCAATGGTACGGTTTCTACCGATAGGGAATCCGCAGGGGTCCGTCGGAGCCCAACGACGGGGTCAGTCCCCAGTTGGGCGTCGGAAGGGACAGAAGCGTACGGGTGGTGCCGGTTTTGTCGGCGTGTCTTGTTCCAGCTAAGCGAGTTCACGCTGAACCAGGTGATAGGCCTGAGATTTTCAGTTCCGTGACTCCAGCTGTGGCTTTGCAGGGGTCCGCAATCAATAGACAGGCAGACAGTCTGTTAAGTCTGGGGACTGGCGTTGTACGAAGACTCACATGGGCTGAAATTGTGAGATGTGATGCGAACAAATGTGACGACATGGCGAGCACCTCAACTGGAATCCTCAAGCCATACTCAAAAGATAAAGAGAAGCAAATGATTATCAGGGAACCTAATTCCTTTCACCACCAATTTGTCTTGGGGTACATGAGATGTACACAATTTGTACATCATATAAAAGGGTAAAAAAATTACCATTCCATTTACCCCATTCTTTCCTCTCACTCTTTCTTTCCCACGCACCCCCCCATTCCCGTTACATATTTGCGCAGCTTGGAGCACATTTCACTGTAGCATCTTCTTCCTCTTGTCCCCTTCTTCTTCACAGCTCGACGGAGGAGTAGGAGTCTGGTGTGGAGGTAATAAGCGAATGGATTATAGCGTTGAGCAGATGGCCTTCATCAGTAGCTACGACATGGGCGAGTTGATGGCACCCCAAAATATGGATTCCGGCTCTGAACCACCGGCGACCGGAAACGAAGCTCAACCCAGTACGAAAGACGTCGGCGACGGAGAGGAAAAACATATTCCGGACGCTGATCATGAAGGAGGTACGTGGAACGTAATGTCTGTGTACACAGACATTTCCATATTTTCAGTCTTCACCTGTTGTATGTTCTTATAACTTTGTATTCGTATAGTTTACCATCCACTTGTGTTAGTGTAACATTTGTATATGTTTCACCTGCTGTAGAAGTAAAAGTATTGTATTTGATGTGTTGTATTATCCATGTAGTCCGTACTCCGTAGTAAATATTTGTATTTTTAATGCGTTTATATTAGTCCATTACTATTGTCTGTGTACAGGGAAGAAGTGAAGTAAATGTTTGTTTTCATATTGCCGTTGTACACCGACGAAGTGATGTACATGATTGTATTATTATACGATCTGTCCATTATTATACTACATGTCCATTTATGTATTATGTAAATGTGTTATGTAATTTATTGTGATGTTATTGTATTGTAATATTTTTATATGTCTTCACTCAGACCCGGATAACACAAATGTAGATGATGGTACACCAGACGTCCATGTAGAAGTTGGGATGTTGTTTGCGGGAAAAGATGAAGCCTATGATCACTACAAGAATTACGCAAAACGTATAGGTTTTCCCATTAGAATTAGGAGCTCGACGAAAGACAAACAAGGAAACATAACAGGAATGTTAATTGAATGTGGCCGTGCAGGAAATAGAGTTTCAAAGTCAACAAATTTGTTGTTGCCCGGAGCTACTAGTGCAATTGGTTGCAAAGCCGGAATCAAAGTCATGTATGACTACGCCGGGTCATGGGTTATTTCAAAAGTGCATGAACAGCATAACCACCCCATGAGTCCTACCAAAACTAGAGCTTTTCGTTGCAATAGGAGATTGACTATGAGCGCGAGGAGAAAAATTGAAATAAATGTTGTTGCAGGAATTCCTCTTCACAAAACCTACACCTCTGCCGTGGTAGAAGCGGGCGGTTATGAGAATTTACCATTCATTGAAAAGGATTGTAGGAACTACGTTGACAAGGTTCGCCGCTTGCGTTTAGGAAATGGTGATGCCATTGCAATTCAAAGTTTCTTTTGCAAAATGCAAGCGGAGTGCCCCGGTTTTTTCTTTGCCCTTGATGTGGATGATGAATCTCGCCTTCGCAGTGTCTTTTGGGCAGACAAGCGGTGCCGGTATGCTTATAGAGATTTTGGAGATGTGATAACTTTCGATACAACTTATCTCACCAATAAGTACGACATGCCCTTTGCACCTTTTGTAGGAGTCAACCACCATGGGCAATCCATCTTGTTAGGTTGTGGCTTAATTTCAAATGAGGACACCACCACATTTGTGTGGTTGTTTAAAAAGTGGCTTGAGTGTATGGATGGTTGTCCTCCTAGTGGAATTATTACCGATCAAGATAGGGCAATGCAAAATGCCATTCAAATAGTGTTCCCAAATACAAGACATCGGTGGTGTCTATGGCATATAATGAAGAAGGTGCCTGAGAAGATGGGAGGGTTGACTGATAAAGACGAAGTTAGTGCTTGTTTACATGATGCTGTTTACGACTCCCAAACAGGTGCACAATTTGAGTTCGCATGGAGTTGTATGTTGCAAAGGTAAGCATTTGTTTTTTACAAGTTCTATTCAACTTCACAACTATCGTAATATTCATGTGGACAAATGTGCAGGTTTCAGCTTAATGACCATGAATGGTTACATGTGCTTTACAATGAAAGACATCGGTGGGTGCCATGCTACTTGAGGCCAACGTTTTGGGCAGGGATGTCAACGACCCAACGTAGTGAGAGCATTAACGCCTTTTTTGACGACTTTGTTCATTCTAAAACAAGTCTAAAGGAATTTGTTGATCAATACGGGCGTGCGTTGAAATCCAAAGTAGAGAAAGAGTTCCAAGAGGATGCTAAGTGTCTCACCAAAATGTTGCCTTGTGTGAGTATATATGCCATGGAACATCAGTTGCAACAAATGTACACACTTGCAAAGTTCAAGGAATTTCGAACTCAAATGGCCGGGAAGTTGCATTGTGACCTGTTAGGGTGTGAGGATGGTATACATTACAATATCCGTGAAGACAAAAAGGAGAATGGGGTTTTTTTCAAAACAATCCATGTTGTGGTTGAGTACGATAATGCTATCCCTAATTCTAAAGCAGTGTGCACCTGCCACTTATATGAGTTTAGAGGGATTGTTTGTAATCACATCATCACAGTACTTGTGCGTAACGGAGTTCACGTCCTACCAAAGTGTTACATCATGCAAAGGTGGAGGAGAGATATCAAAAGAGGATACACAAGAGTTAAAATTAACTATGATGGTTGGATTACGACTAAAGAGCAACAACGATTTGACAAGTTATGCACCACATTTGAAAGACTTGCGAATAGTGTGGCCGATGATGATGAACATTATGAACGCGTCTTGAAATGGCTTGAAGGTGAGTTGGAAAAATGCAACATGTCAAATGCTCGTTCATCAATTTGTGGAGTTATGACTCAATTAACGGACACCCTGCCAATCCAAGTCATAGGCGTGAACGCACAAACAACTGTTGCTATTGAAGATCCAAACAGGACAAAACGTAAAGGCGCTCCGAGAAAGACTAGGCAAAAAGGACCTATTGAAAAGGGGAAGAAAAAATCAAAGGTACATCCATTTGTCTGTGAAGCCGGAGCAATGTGTCCAGGCACAGACATTTAGCCAATGGAATCCGTGTGAATTGCCTGTGGGACCATAGTAAATTGTCTGTTCACAGACAAATACCTACTGGAACCCCTGTGTCACCAGCCAATGAAGTGTCTGTGAGACCCCACTTAATTGTCTGTTCACAGACAAATACCTACTGGAACCCCTGTGTCACCAAATTATGAAATGTCTGTGAGACCATACTTATTTGTCTGGTCACGGACAAATACCTACTGGAACCCCTGGGTCACCAAATTATGAAATGTCTGTGAGACCATACTTATTTGTCTGGTCACGGACAAATA